TGCACTGCTGGTTGCTAGGATGCTGTCAGCAGAATGGCGTGGTTGGTTGCTAGGATGCTGGCAGCAGCACTGCACTGTTGGTTGCTAGGATGCTGTCGGCAGCACGGCATCCTTGGTTGCTAGGATGCAGTCAGACGAATGGCATTATTAGTCGCTGGGACACAGGTGGCCACCAGAACCAGAAGCCAATGATGCTGGTCATAGGAGCTAAACATGTGCTGAGGACTTAGTGTCCAATATGGACCAGCACCACCCCTGCTGTGGGGCAATTTTCGACAGTTCTGGGACAAATTCATTGACTTGTTTTTGGAGTGAACAAAGATTTGTTACAAGTCACGCTATTTTTCATGTGGGCCTTGGGCTAACCCCTTGTCACTGGTTGTTGGGATGCTGTCAGCCACATAGTGCCCTTGGTTACTAAGATGCTTACAGCCACATAGTGTCCTTGGTTGTTGGGATGCTGTCAGTCACAGTCTCCTTGGTTGTTAAGATGCTGTCAGCCACATTGTGGCTGTCAGCATTCTGGATACCAAAGACACTATGTGGCTGACAGCATCCTAACAACCAAGGCATTCTGGATACCAAAGACACTATGTGGCTGACAGCATCCTAACAACCAAGGACACTATGTGGCTGACAGCATCCCAACAACCAAGGACACTATGTGGCTGACAGCATCCTAGCAACCAAGGACACTATGTGGCTGACAGCATTCTGGCTACCAAAGACACTTAGTGTCCTTGGTTGTTAGGAGGCTGTCAGCCACATAGTGTCCTTGGTTGTTAGGATGCTGTTAGCAGCACAGTGGTATTGGTTGCTAGGATTCCATCCTCTTATATGCTGCAGCCCCCCCACCCCCACTGCCCCCATAGCTCTGCATACAATTAAGTCTTTTGCTTGAGTATCTATGCATTCCAGTGACTGCCGATGCAAAGCCCCGCCTCCTGTATGATGTGAGGCTGGTGAGTGGAGACTCTCCCCCCCTCCGATAACACCTAGAGCAGTGTATAATGGTGATGTCACCACTCATGTGAATTCTGCCTCGTGGCCCTCCCCCCCTACATTACACAGGGGGTCATGTGACCGTATTTAACGTGTGACTTGTGCTTCATTGTATGCAGAGTGATGGGGGAGGGGAGTGGGCTGCACCATGTACAAGGGTGGAGTTACAGTGCCTAAACATCCACTCTAAGAGATGTGCAGTATATGGACCTCACTGTATGGATACAAATGTGTGCGGACGTTCGTTCTGTGCAAATCGAGCAAACAACTAATGTTAGCAGGCTGTTCCCTCTGCAGGTCGAATGTCTCTCAATGATTTAAAGCAGAAAATACTCACTGCGTTGTATCTATGGTGCAGCAGTATTGTGACCTAAGAGTGTACTACAGAACTCCTCCACCTGTCCTTATCCCTATAACTAGAGGGGAGGTGTTCTGTAGTCCTCAATGATTGTGTTACAAAATTTTGTGGTACGCCCACTTTTCGGTCCCTTTTACTGCATTGGCAGCCCCTTCATTTCAATAGACCGCCTTAATGGAGCGCACATTACAGCACCGCAAGGCTGTAAAAGGGCCCTAAATGTCTCCTGAGGGCTCTTGAGTTTCCTCTCCCCCCTCCTGGACCCGTCCTTCTCCCCAGAAACTGGAACTCCTCCTCCTCCTCATCGTTTCCCTCCAATGGTGAAAAAACTGTGACGGGTGTATTTATAGAGGATTCACCGGGAGAATCACATGGGGGGGGGGGGGTTCTGGATGCATCCGGGTGTATATGTACAAACATGGGGGCCAATATAGACAGGGGCCAATATATTCAAGGACCAGTGTAGACAGGGGCCAGTACAGTCAGGGGCCAATATGGTTAGGAGCCAACATAGTCATGAGGGCAATAAATTCAAGGACAAGTGTAGACGGGTCAATGGAGACAGAGGCCAGTATATTCAAGGACCGATGTTGACGGGTCAGTATAGACGGGTCAATATAGTTGGAGGTGAATCTAATTGGGGGCCAATGGAGACAGGGGCCAATATATTCAAGGACCAATTTTGACAGGGGTCAGTATAGACAGGGGTCAATGGAGACAGGGGCCAATATATTCAAGGACCAATGTAGATAAGGGTCAATGGAGTCAGGGTCCAATAGAGACAGGGGCCAATATAGTCAGGGTTCAATGTAGTACGAGGCCAATATAGACATTGGGACAATATATTCAAGGACCAATGTAGACAGGGCAATGTAGACAGGGGTCAATGTAGACTTGAGGCCAGTATAGACATGGGGCCAATATAGAAAGAGGTCAATAAAGATGTGGGGCCAATATAGACGTGGGGCCAATATAGACGTGGGGCCAATATAGACGTGGGGCCAATATAGACGTGGGGCCAATATAGACGTGGGGCCAATATAGACGTGGGGCCAATAAAGACGTGGGGCCAATAAAGACGTGGGGCCAATAAAGACATGGGGCCATATCTCCAACCAGCATGTGTTTGGTGTGTGGCAGGAAACCGGCACACGTGTGTCACCAGAATACATGGCAGTGTTATGTGCATTGTGGAGCAACTCATTGTGAATGTCAGTCCAGCACATTAGGACATCTGAGGTCCCACACGCGGTAAATCACGGCCTAGCGTTGGGGTTCACTACCAAAAATGGTGAATGACTTGGGGGGGATTTTGTTGCATTGCCAGCCTGTCCATGTGGATGGTCCACCTTCACGCACTATGCCATGCACCAGGACGTCAGACTCCGGACCGGCCCTTACAGTTCCCAGGGTTTGCTGACCAGTCCCACGCTGTCCTTCCCTTCAGTCGCGGTTCACACTCCATGCGTTTCAGTTGTGTTTTTTTTCTGCATCCAAAACGCACAGAACGTAGGTTACATGGTGGTCAGTGTCGTAGTTCACATCAGCGCTTGCAGTTCCAGAGCGTTTCGGGTGCATTTTTTCTGCACTGAACTGTACTGGAACGCGGTAAAACGCACCAAAAACGCCCCGGAACACAAGTCCCTATTTCACCTGAAGAAACAGGAAAAAATGCACTGAAATGCGTCAAAATTGATTCAAAAATGCATCTGGACGGCGTTTGTATAGTGTGAACCGACCCTTAAGCATGTTGTCAGTGTGAACATTAGCTGGGCAGACCATGTGATGGTGAGATTTGTGGGGCCCGTGGCGTTGATGATGTCATCACCTTCCTGTGGCGAGGCAGCTGAGCGAACGCCTCATCTGATCTGCTACACTTTCACAACTTTCAGTCCTCGAGGTCCCAGATTCTGAGAATCGCTGATGTTGTGTTTCTGCTCTTCCTGTTCTGAAGTCGGTGACGATGCGTCGTGCGCCCTTCCTGCCGCCCTCCGGTATATCACCCCCCCCCCCCCTCCCCCCCCCCCATTGTTTCCCTCCCCCCATCTGACCCCCCCATATATCCCCCCCACCTGACCCCCCCCCATATATCCCCCCCCACCTGACACCCCCCCATATATCCCCCCCCCACCTGACACCCCCCATATATCCCCTCCCACCTGACACCCGGGTCTAGAGGGGGCTCGCGGAGCACAAAAATAGGAATTTCCTGTTGCACTCAGCGCCATCTGGAGGCCAAATGCAGCATTTTCTGTTAGAAACATTCGTCCCGCACAGGAGAGAGTCGGCTGACATTCGTTGTTGGGGGTTTCCTGCCTCATCCACACAGAACTACTCTACAGGGACTGTCACTGGGGGGTCGTCAGCTGAACGCTTTTTACATCCATCCCCTAAACTCTACGTAAAAGTAATATCAGATATTGCAGCTTACCAGTCCTTACCAGTCCATACCAGTCCACACCAGTCCTTACCAGTCCATACCAGTCCACACCAGTCCTTACCAGTCCATACCAGTCCTTACCAGTCTATACCAGTCCTTACCAGTCCATACCAGTCCTTACCAGTCTATACCAGTCCTTACCTGTCTATACCAGTCCTTACCAGTCCATACCAGTCCATATCTGTCCTTACCTGTCTATACCAGTCCTTACCAGTCCATACCAGTCCTTACCAGTCTATACCAGTCCTTACCTGTCTATACCAGTCCTTACCTGTCTATACCAGTCCTTACCAGTCCTTACCTGTCCTTACCAGTCCATACCAGTCCATATCTGTCCTTACCTGTCTATACCAGTCCATACCAGTCCTTACCTGTCCTTACCTGTCCATACCAGTCCTTACCTGTCCATACCTGTCCATATCAGTCCTTACCAGTCTATACCAGTCCATACCAGTCCTTACCTGTCCATACCAGTCCTTACCTGTCCATACCAGTCCTTACCTGTCCTTACCTGTCCATACCAGTTCTTACCTGTCCATATCAGCCCTTACCAGTCTATACCAGTCCATACCAGTCCTTACCTGTCCATACCTGTCCATACCAGTCCTTACCTGTCCATACCTGTCCATACCTGTCCATATCAGTCCTTACCAGTCTATACCAGTCCATACCTGTCCTTACCAGTCCATACAAGTCCATAACAGTCCATAACAGTCCATACCAGTCCATATCTGTCCATACCAGTCTATACCAGTCCATACCAGTCCTTACCTGTCCTTACCTGTCCATACCAGTCCTTACCTGTCCATACCTGTCCATATCAGTCCTTACCAGTCTATACCAGTCCTTACCTGTCCTTACCTGTCCATACCAGTCCTTACCTGTCCATACCTGTCCATATCAGTCCTTACCAGTCCATACCAGTCCATACCAGTCCATACCAGTCCATATCTGTCCATACCAGTCTATACCAGTCCATACCTGTCCTTACCAGTCCATACCAGTCCATATCTGTCCATACCAGTCTATACCAGTCCTTACCTGTCCTTACCTGTCCATACCAGTCCTTACCTGTCCTGACCTGTCCTTACCTGTCCATATCAGTCCTTACCAGTCTATACCAGTCCTTACCTGTCCTGACCTGTCCTTACCACCCCTTACCAGTTCTTACCTGCCCATACTGCCGGTACACCTGTGCAAGACTGGAGGGGAGGTACCGGCACACCTGTGCAAGACGGAAGGGGAGGAGCCGGTACACCTGTGCAAGACGGAAGGGGAGGATCTGGTACACCTGTGCAAGACGGAAGGGGAGGATCTGGTACACCTGTGCAAGACGGAAGGGGAGGAGCCGGTACACCTGTGCAAGACGGAAGGAGAGGAGCCAGTACACCTGTGCAAGATGGAAGGGGAGGAGCCACTACACCTGTGCAGGACGGAAGGGGAGGAGCCACTACACCTGTGCAAGACGGAAGGGGAGGAGCCGGTACACCTGTGCAAGACGGAAGGGGAGGAGCCAGTACACCTGTGCAAGACTGAAGGGGAGGAGCCGGTACACCTGTGCAAGACTGGAGGGGGAGGAGCAGGTACACCTGTGCAAGACGGAAGGGGAGGAGCAGGTACACCTGTGCAAGACGGAAGGGGAGGAGCAGGTACACCTGTGCAAGACGGAAGGGGAGGAGCCACTACACCTGTGCAAGACGGAAGGGGAGGAGTCGGTACACCTGTGCAAGATGGAAGGGGAGGAGCCGGTAAACCTGTGCAAGATGGAAGGGGAGGAGCCGGTACACCTGTGCAAGACTGAAGAGAAGGCCGAAGGTCAGCTGATGTCGCCCGTCCAATGCCTGGATACATTTCACTGAGATTCATCATTTCCTGTTTTTGCTGACATCTCAGTACAATGACAGCTCAGATTTGTCATCTCGGATTCCCCCAATAATGAGTCATTTCTGCTTCCTCTGATCCCCTCCCTGGACAAGTATTTCCAGGCCGGTACTCCCTGCAGTACAGAGAGCGCAGTGCAGGCGCCGGACTCTGCATCCTCCCGTCTTCAGGAGGGTATAGACAGGGATGATGATTGGAGGAAATGGCGCCATCACACCTCAGTGACGAATGCGATTGGACGCACGTTCCCGACACGCATAGATGTGAGACAATCCATTGAAATGTATGGGCCGCCCTCCAGACTGCATGAGCACCGCGGTACATGACCTGTCATCTAATTGTGCATGACACCCTACTAAACTTGGTGCCGGAGCCGCCCTCCCCCAACATGGACAGAAATGGGAAGCTGATCCTTCATGATGGATGCAGATTGGGGGGGGATGGGGGGTTCATGGGAGTTACAACTGGAATCTCTGCACAGGTAGCCGGCAGTTAGGCCCCATTCAGACCTGAGCGATTTGTAGCTCCAACGCTCGATGAGGAAAAAAAAATCAATTGTTCTCAATGGACACGGTTCACATCTCCACTCCATGTCGCCTGAAGCTCAAACACGTCATGTAACTTTTTTTTTTCTAGCGCAAATTAGGCAGATTTGCTAGTTTTTGGCACATTTTATTCCCATAGAAATTAACAAACGAGCTTTTTTTTTTTTTTTGCGCGTTCTGCTCAAATTAAAAAAATGTAGGAATATATTGTACTAATATATGTAAAATAAATTTAAAAAATCATGATAAATAAATAACAAAACCCAACCTTAGTCCCCGAACTAGAAAAAAAAAAGTATTAAATAAATTAAAAGTATTAATAATAATATTAAAATAATAATAAACACCCAAACCTGAACAAAAATGCAGTAATAATAATAATGTGGGGGGTTGATGATAATAATAATAATAATAATGTATTGTTCATATTTTATTTTTTAAGAGTTGGGGGTTGATTATTATTTATTTATTATTACATAGAATTTAGGATTATTTTTATGTGTATTTATTTTACATTTATTCATTTTTTATTATTATTATTATTATTATTATTGTTATTATTGTTATTAACACCCTAACAAAAAAGAATAAATAAATAATATGATAATAAATCAAATATTAACCCAAACCCCTAATCCTAACCTAAACTCTAACCCTTTACACAAACAAAAAACAAAATAATAATAAATGAATAATAATATTATAATAATAGCAACAAATGATATTTTCTGTATTGGCTAATAAAAAAACACCAAAGCTAAAAAACGGCTAAAAACCACTGCAAAATCCACGCAAAATCGTGGTAAAATATGCGTAAAAAAAATGCTACGTTCAGATGTGAATGGCCTTAATGTGGACACCATCAATGCTCAGACAGTTCACATGGGGAAAGTGTCAGACTGGCTATGACTGTATGTACTGTGGCCCTCTCATATACAGGGGGGCCCTCCTGACTCAGCATGCAGTGCACAGAGCTCAGGGTAGTAGTATTGGCTCCATTCTTCTTCCCATCGCTATCTCTGATCTCTCCATTTTCTGTGTCTTGCAGGGCGTCTGATGTGTGGGACAGCAAGGATATAAACATGGCGGCTCCAGGTAAGAGGATGACATCACACCAGGGGGAGGGATCGGTTAGCTCTGTTAAACTGTGATACACTGCTAGGAGCACCGCTAGACTGTGATGGACTGACAATGGTGGCTGTGAGGGGATGATAAAGGTGGTGGTGGAGATGATGGTGGTGGTAAAGGCGATGATGATGGTGGTGATGAAGATGATTGATGATGGTGGCAGTGGAGATGATTGATGATGGTGGTTGAGATGATGGTGAGATGATGATGAGTGATGATGGGTGTGGTGGTAGTGAAGATGATTGTGGTGGGAGTGGAGATGATGGTGGCAGTGAAGATGTTTATGGTGGTGAAGATGATTGATGACAGTGGCAGTGGTAGAGATGATGATGATGATGATGGTGATGATGGGATGGTGTGGTGGTGGTGGTAGTGATAGGAAGATGATTGATGGTGGAGATGATGATGAGTAATGATGGTGTGGTGGGGGTGGTAGTGAAGATGATTGTGGCGGTGTTGGTGGTGGAGATGATGATGGTGGTGCTAGAGATTATGGTAGTGTTGAAGATGATTGTAATGGTGGTGGTGGTGGAGATGGTGGTAGTGGTAAAGATGCTGGTGGTGGAGATGATGATGGCGGTGGTGGAGACAATGATGATGATGATGGTGGTGGTGAAGATGATGGGGTGAAGATTATGATGGTGGTGGGTGGTGGTGGTGAAGACCATGATAGTGGTGGTGGGATGATGATGGTGGTGGTGGTGGTGGTGGAGATGATGATGGTGGAGGAGATGATGGTGGGGTGGAGATGATGATGGTGGTGGCGGTGGTGGTGGAGATGGTGGTGGTGGTGAAGATTATGATGGTGGTGGTGAAGATGATGATGGTGGTGGTGGTGAAGATGATGGTGGTGGTGGAGATGATGATGATGGCGGTGGTAATAGAGATGATGATGGCGGTGGTGGTGGAGATGATGATGGTGGTGGTGATGGTGATGATGGCGGTGGTGGTGATGATGATGGTGGTGGTGATGATGGTGGTGGTGAAGCTGATGATGGTGGTGGTGAAGATGATAATGGTGGTGATGAAGATGATGATGATGGTGGTGGTGATGATGATGGCGGTGGTGGTGGAGATGATGATGGTGGTGCTGGTAAAGATGATGGCAGTGGTGGTGATGATGATGGTGGTGGTGGTGATGATGATGGTGATGATGATGGTGGTGAAGATGGCAGTGATATCTCCATGTATGTAGTATCATTATGGTCCACACTGAGCTGGTTCTCTCTTGCCTGTAATTCTGTGTTTCCTTCCCCAGGTTACTCCTCACCTGCTCCCGGATACCCCAACCCCCCTTATCCCTCTCCACCCTACCCCACCGCCCCCTCCGCTCCTCCCGCACCATTGCCGCCTTCTCCTGGATTCCATGATTACCCCGGAGGTGGGTGCAGCATCCCTCCACAGCACCAAATGCACCCCCACCCACAGCTGGAGCCAGCAGGAGCACCTTATATGCCCGTCAGCAGCGGGAGCACCCCAAGTGCCTTGGAATACCTTAGCCAGGTACCTACCTGTTTGTGTGTGTACTCCATGCATGATACTCTAGACATACTCCATGCATACCTACCTGTCTCTCTACTTACCTGTGTGTACACGGAGCTCCATCCGCAGAGAGTACTCCATGCGTGATGCTCTGTACACACATACCTGTCCATGTATTACCTGTATCTGTACTCTGATCTCCACCTGCAGTGAGTACTGTCTGTGATACCCCATACTGCCTGTAACCTTCATCCTCCATAGACATAGGACCACATTCTGTTCTTATATTAGCTCCCTGATGTCCCTCTGCTTCAAATTAGGAGAGAGGGAGGGGCATCAATAGGAGCCAATCAGATTCTACTACACAGAACAGGGCGGTGCCTGATAGGAGCATCAGGCGACTTCATCAGATATTGCTCCTCCCCTGTCCAATCACAGGCTGGGGGCAGATTTATTTTTTTTTGATAGAATGAGAAATGCGTTCACAATTCTACAATATTCTTATTACTGTCTGTGACCCCTCCCCCCCCTTGAAAGATTGCTCCTCACTTCCTGTCCCTGTGACACCCGTACAAGAAATCTGGGAGTGGTGGTCACCAGGACAGGAATCAAACATTGTGAGAAATTCTGGTGATCCATCTCACTCGGCAACACTCAATGCGTAGTCCTGTCCTAGGGTGACAACACTCACTGACTGTACTGTATCTGTAAAGGATAAGTGTTGTCACCCTAGGACAGGACTACAGAACACCTCCCCTTTATTTTATGTGGCCGAGTAGAGTTTTCACCCTAGGACAGGACTACAGAACACCTCCCCTTTACTTTACGTGGCCGAGTAGAGTTGTCACCCTAGGACAGGACTGCTGAACACCTCCCCTCCATGTTATGTGGATGAGTAACATACCGGTAGCATGACATAGAGGGGAGGTGTTCTGTCATCCTGTCCTGAGGTGACAACACTCACTGACTGTACTGTATCTAGAAAGGATAATTGTTGTCAACCTAGGGCAGCACTACAGAACACCTCCCCCTCCACTCATTTACATTAAATAGAGGGGAGGTGTTCTGTAGACCTTTCCAAGGGCAACAGCACTCACTGACTGTACTGCATCTATAAAGGTTAGGTGTTGTCACCCTGGAACAGGACTACAGAACACCTCCGCTCTATGCTATGCTATGTTACTCATCTACATAACACGGAGGGGAGGTGTTCTGTAGTCCTGTCCTAGGGTGACAACACTCACTGACTGTACTGCATCTGTAAAGGATACAGTTGTCACCCTAGGACAAGATTACAGAACACCTCCCCTCTATTTTACATGGCTGAGTAGAGTTGTCACCCTAGGATAGGACTACAGAACACCTCCCCTCTATATTACGTGGCTGAGTCGAGTTGTCATCCTAGGATAGGACTACAGAACACCTCCCCTCACTATTACGTGGATGAGTAGAGTTGTCATCCTAGGATAGGACTACAGAACACCTCCCCTCCATGTTATGTAGATGAGTAACATAGCATAACATAGAGGGGAGGTGTTCTGTAGTCCTGTCCTAGGGTGACAACACTCACTTACTGTACTGTATCTGGAAAGGATACGTGTTGTCACCCTCGGACAGGACTGCTCATTTTGTCTCTGGGTGAGGAGGAGTTCCTTTACTTACCTGATTCCCTGCTCTTCCAGTTTATGCCCCTCCCCCCACGCTCCAGCGGTGGACCGTCCCTCAGTGTCCTCACATCTAGTGAAAGACTATGGACTCGGGGCCTCGGGTGATGGCCATGAAAATGTCTTGACTCCCCGAATGACCACAGTCTGAATCCCTCCCACAGAGCTATTGTGCTCTTCCAGTAGAGGTGGGGGGGGGGGGTGCTGTCCCTGTCAGGAGACCACACTGATCAGGGTGGGGTGGGGTGGGGGGGGGTGCTGTCCCTGTCAGGAGACCACACTGATCAGGGTGGGGGGGGGGGGGGTGCTGTCCCTGTCAGGAGACCACACTGATCAGGGTGGGGGGGGGGGGGGGGGGGGGTGCTGTCCCTGTCAGGAGACCACACTGATCAGGGTGGGGGGGGGGGGGGGTGCTGTCCCTGTCAGGAGACCACACTGATCAGGGGGGGGGGGGGGGGGGGTGCTGTCCCTGTCAGGAGACCACACTGATCAGGGTGGGGGGGGGGGGGGTGCTGTCCCTGTCAGGAGACCACACTGATCAGGGTGGGGGGGGTGCTGTCCCTGTCAGGAGACCACACTGATCGGGGGGGGGGGTGGAGGTATGGGGTGCTGTCCCTGTCAGGAGACCACACTGATCAGGGTGGGGGGGGGGGGGGTGCTGTCCCTGTCAGGAGACCACATTGATCAGGGTGGGGGGGGGGGGGGTGCTGTCCCTGTCAGGAGACCACACTGATCAGGGTGGGGGGGGGGGGTGCTGTCCCTGTCAGGAGACCACACTGATCAGGGTGGGGGGGGGGGGGGGTGCTGTCCCTGTCAGGAGACCACATTGATCACTGCTGGCGGCTAGAGTTGCTGGAAATCTGACATTGACATCCAATTGGTGCCTCGACTTGGGTACAAGCGGCCTGCCCAGGTAGATGGAATCTCTGGTCCTCACTGAAACGGCTGAGATCTGATCCATCCATGGCCGGCTTTAGACCAGTGGGGTGGGGGAGGGGGAGGAAGCTTCTGCAGGGAGCAGTCTAGGAGTGGGGGAGGATTAGGTAAGTAAATCTGGTGTTTTGTGTCCTCTAGACCTGAACAAAGCAGTTCACCTTTGGCACAGAAAACGTGATGGTTCCTCAGAGTTGGGTTCAGGTAGGACAATGTCTGAGACAAGACACACATGGGATGGCTGATAAGGACAGGAGGGCTGTGGGGGGGGGTGGGGTGGGGGGTTTTAGAGTCCAGAGGTGAGGGTGGTCATAAAACATTTTAGATACTTGAGGTCCAGGTCCACCATCTCTTGTGTCAAATATCATTCCCCGTTCTAAAGTTTAAGAATGAAAACGTTCCCGATTTCCATGGTGTGGTCGGGTTGTGAGAAGCCGCGTCCCTCAGGTCCCTCAGAAATCCTCTTCCTTCCATCTGGAGAAATTTGTTCTTTACTCGGAAGTCCTGTTTCACCAACGTGAGGGACACCACACCAGAGGAGGTGCACTTGTACGATGCTGTAATACTGAAGGCCCCATTTTTATGTGGGAGATGTTTTATTGGGATGATGTGACGGCACAGCTTGCAGCGATCGTTGGGCGAGGGTTCGGTTCCCTTGTTCCTGTCCCTGTAATCAGGACGAAGGTTCCTGCTGGTCTGAGGTCTGAGGTCGGGGTGGTTTCCTGAAGACCAGCATTGGAATATCTCCCTCAGCGTTTCATCCTCTATTACGAAGGGTTGCACCCCTATGATTATCTCTTCCAACCCCCCAACCACTGCTGTGACGTCAAGGGTCGCAATGGGGAACCCATGAGGCCTCCCTGTCACATTCTGTTGTGACAGGAGGAGCGGCATATCCAGAAACTGATCCCTTCCATTCTCCTCCTCTCCCTTCTGTTGGCCTTCAGCTGCTTCAGGAGGAGAATGGAGACATTGAAATTCTGAACCATTTCATTGCGGCCCGCGACCGGTTACCAAATCACTTAGGTGGCCCTCCAGAAGGTTGAGCGCCCCTGATGTGACCTTCCTGATGGAGGGACTCTGATCCAACTCTGAGGTCATAGTCAGTGGTATCTGGAGGCCCGGCTGGGTATGATGACCCGTCTGGTGTATTGGAGGAGGGCGAGGATCAATGCCAACCTGAGGAACAGCAACTCACCACCAGACCACACTATGGGAGCTGGGAATGTTCTGGATTTGAAAGGGGTGGTTCAAATAAAGAACAAAGATAACAAACAGTCTACTTCCCTGCTCTGTAATGGTTTTCCACCGAGCATCCAGAAAGTATTCCCGGTATATACAGAGCATCCAGAAAGTATTCCCGGTATATACAGAGCATCCAGAAAGTATTCCCGGTATATACAGAGCATCCAGAAAGTATTCCCGGTATATACAGAGCATCCAGAAAGCATTCCCAGTATATACAGAGCATCCAGAAAGTATTCCCGGTATATACAATGTATCCAGAAAGTATTCCCGGTATATACAATGTATCCAGAAAGTATTCCCGGTACATACAGAGCATCCAGAAAGTATTCCCGGTATATACAGAGCATCCAGAAAGTATTCCCGGTATATACAGAGCATCCAGAAAGTATTCCTGATATATACAGAGCATCCAGAAAGTATTCCCGGTATATACAGAGCATCCAGAAAGTATTCCCGGTATATACAGAGCATCCAGAAAGCATTCCCAGTATATACAGAGCATCCAGAAAGTATTCCCGGTATATACAATGTATCCAGAAAGTATTCCCGGTATATACAATGTATCCAGAAAGTATTCCCGGTACATACAGAGCATCCAGAAAGTATTCCCGGTATATACAGAGCATCCAGAAAGTATTCCCGGTATATACAGAGCATCCAGAAAGTATTCCCGGTATATACAGAGCATCCAGAAAGTATTCCCGGTACATACAGAGCATCCAGAAAGTATTCCCGGTATATACAGAGCATCCAGAAAGTATTCCCGGTATATACAGAGCATCCAGAAAGTATTCCCGGTATATACAGATCATCCAGAAAGTATTCCCGGTATATACAGAGCATCCAGAAAGTATTCCCGGTATATACAGAGCATCTAGAAAGTATTCCCGGTATATACAGAGCATCCAGAAAGTATTCCCGGTATATACAGAGCATCCAGAAAGTATTCCCGGTATATACAGAGCATCCAGAAAGTATTCCCGGTATATACAGAGCATCCAGAAAGTATTCCCGGTATATACACAGAGCATCCAGAAAGTATTCCCGGTATATACACAGAGCAGCCAGAAAGTATTCCCGGTATATTTCAGAGCATCCAGAAAGTATTCCCGGTATATACAGAGCATCCAGAAAGTATTCCCAATATATACAGAACATCCATACATGTATATACCG